TGTGTGTGTGTGTGTGTGTGTGTGTGTGTCCCCGATGCAACTTGTCTCTTCTGCAAAGCGGACAGATTGTAGTGATCTAAGCGTTGTGGGCGATAAGCTACTGAGATATGGGTGTGCGGCAAATACACCTTCTGACATCTTCCGTTGTGTTCCTTGAGGCACCAGTTTGAGTTGACATTTAATGAGTTTGCAGTATTTGATAATGGATTATTATGTTGGTGGCGATTTACTAACATTGCTATCAAAGTTTGAAGTGCGCATCCCGGAGGATATGGCACGATTTTACGTTGCAGAAATGGTGCTTGCAATCGATTCCGTGCATCGTCTCGGCTATGTACACAGGTGTGTTCAGGAGTGTTCTTGCATCCGACAATATTTTATTTTTCAAGATGGAAAACATCCAAAAATATGTGTGTCACTGGTATTTTCTGACCCTGTTGCTGCGAGGCCTAAGAAGTGTATACGACTTAATGGACCGAAATATTTCTTACCATTATAATAGTCTCACAAATTTTCTAATTTGTGAGACAATTATAATGGCAAGAAAATGTGAGATTATTCTGTTTTGGCGCTAAGAGGAGCAGCTAAGCCAGGCCATCTTTTTGAGACATTTTCCTTTGTCACACTCCATCTTCAGTAGTTTTCGGATATCAGGATCTAGTGAAGTGCAAGGGAAATTTTTTGAAATAATTCTTTACCCATGTTGCAGAGATATCAAGCCGGACAACGTTTTGCTGGATATCAATGGTCATATTCGGTTAGCTGATTTTGGAAGTTGCCTAAAGCTTCTTCCAGATGGCACTGTTCATTCAAATGTTGCTGTTGGTACGCCGGACTATATCTCACCAGAAATACTCCGAGTTAGTTTTGTTCCTTAAATCAGCAAATCGCTACAGTACTAGAATGCAATTTCCATTTTTGAAGAAGCATAGACAAAAAAAGAAGTTTATCTCTGCAAAAAAAGTGTGCCTCTCTCCTTCCCGGGAATCTGTGGAAGGAGGACTGGAGTGGGGGGGGGGGGGGGGGGGGG